CCCCCGTCGAGTCAAAATCGACATGCGAGTCGATCTTTCGCCCGCCAGAGGGATACGCGGCGTTCGGGTGACAAACAGCGCTGCGGCCCCGAAGTGGCGGTGGACATGCTCCCATGTCGCCGACGCGGCGCCGGAGTGGCCGGCGCTGCTCGCCGCGACCACGACGGCTACTCTGATGCTCCGGGCCGACCCGTCCTAGAGCGGCCGCACATTGCTCGGTACCCCCCCTCCACATCAAAAGTAATCTCTTCTTCTTGGGGGGGTGGGCACCCCCCCCCAGCAGCAGCGCTCTGCTGCTGGGGGGGTCAGACCCCCCCCCCTAGCAGCAGAGATGACTTTAGATGTGCAGGGGGGGTACCGAGCAATGTGCGGCCGCTCTAGGACGGGTCGGCCCGGAGCATCAGAGTAGCCGTCGTGGTCGCGGCGAGCAGCGCCGGCCACTCCGGCGCCGCGTCGGCAACATGGGAGCATGTCCACCGCCACTTCGCGGTCGCAGCGCTGTTTGTCACCCGAACGCCGCATATCCCTCTGGCGGGCCAAAGATCGACTCGCATGTCGATTTTGACTCGACGGCGGCATGGAGGCTAGTAAGGACCACGGAAAAGATTGATTCTCGCCTGTAACTATTGATATTGATTATTGACAGCATCCCCTCTAACTATTGACAATATATTGACATATTGATCGCTGATTTGTCCCAACATTTCCTAGATGTGGGCTGAAATCGAAAAAATCGCGAGTTCAAGGCGATTTTTAATGCGGTTTAAGCGATTTCGAAGCGATTTTGGCCCGTTTTTAACGATTTAGAGCCACTTTCAAGCCCAGGATGGACCCCCATCGCTGGATATATTGATATGTTGAGTCCAACCTGACGGTCCTGACCAGCCCGCAGGCCCAGCGCTCTCCTCTAACTATTGCCAAGATATTGACATTGATCGCATCTCTAACTATCTTATTGGAGCAATATATTCAATATTTTCCGTGGTCCTTAACTCCATGCCGCCGCCAAGTCGGACTCGGAGCCAGTCTGCGGCGACCACAGCGCTCGGACCGCAGGGATATGCGAGAGCGTTTCAGAGTCAAGCTTTTGCGCGAAATCCCACAGTGGTGGATTTTGGGGCGCTGTGGGCCGCTGTGCGCACCCCCTACGCCCTAGCCCTACCGTAGTCCAAACAACCGAGGACGAGAGTACGACACCGGGTACACTGTTCGTACACAACGAACAACAAAAATATCAAATTTGCCGGCTCTAGAGTAAATTAGAACGAATTTCTAATTAGAAATTTACCCACTCCTCTCCCCGCCCGCGCAAAACCGCGCCGGCAATGGCTCCGCCCCCATCAGATTCCTCCACGTATGGTCCACCCCCGGGTAGCCTGGCCTTCGCCGCCTGCGAAACTCGACGATATACTCGATCGCGTCCAACAGGCTCGCGTGCACGGCACCTGCACGCTCTTCTGCGCGGGCGCTGTGTGCCCACGCGTCGCGGAAGCCGGCGTTGAAGTTGATCAGGTGGTTGCGCGGCACCACGAAGTGGGTCGCCGGGTCCACAGTCAAGCCATCGCGGCTCCACGGCGCCAAACGCACGTCGAGGGGGCTGTTCTCGCCGCGCGCGGCAGTTGGCATATCCATCCGCACAATCTCGGAGCTGACGATGAAGGCGGGGAGGTCAGCCGGCAAGAAGGGAGGGGAGTGGACCTGCTCCGGGTTGGGGACGCGCAGCCAATCCACAAAGACGAGGTCTCCCGCGTCGAGCGACTTGACCTTCTTCCTCTTCGCCTCGCGGGCCGCCTCGGAGGCGGAGGGGGCGGAGGGGGCGGAGGGGGGAGGGGCGCTGCTCGCCGCCGCCGTCGGCGCCACCGATGGGAGCGCGGGGCGCGGCGAAGGGGCGGGGAGGCCGGAGCTGCCGAGCGGGCCTGCGGAGCGGTGAATGGATCGGAGGGTGCGGTGAGGTGGAGCATCTCGCCGGGGCGGGGCGGGGCGAGGGTACGGCCAGGACGGGGCGCGTGGAAGGCTGTGAAGGGCGCGCGCACCGGCTGCGGGGCGCCGCCGCTCGTCGTGCCCGTCCGGCGCCCCTCGCGGAGAGGGGCTCGGCGTGTCCCTTACTCTGCCCTGCCGACCATCCCCGTATAGCTCCACCTCCGGCACTTGGCCCTCCTCCTCCTCCTGCTGCTCGCGATCGTGCCGCGACCGTTTGCGCACCGCGTTCAGCGAGTTGCTGCGCCGCATATGGTGCTGATCAAACCGAATCTGCCGCCGGACGAGCGGGTCGATTTCGGCGAGCTCCACCCCGTCCGGCACAAAGGGCCGGAGGTGACCGGCCCGGACCCACTCGCCCGAGCCGTCGCTGAACCGCAGCGAATCAATCTTTACGGAGGCCAGCTCCGGCGAGGCGTGGGTGTAGGAGGTGATGCCCACAATGTAGAAGCGGCATGGGAGCGTGCCGCGCCGGCGCGACCTGTTGAAGGGGCCGTCTCCCGCCGGGTTGTGGGCGCGGTTGGAGTCGCTGGACTGGGGGAGGCTGGACCGAATGTACGCCACGTAATCGTTCCAGCAAACGTTCTCTGGGGCGGTGTCGGCGTTCCTGTAGAGCGCTTTGTGGACCGCCGCTGCGGCCTCCGTAAAGGAGGTGTAGCTCTTGATCATATCCTCATGCGGCGCCTCGATGACGTCGGTCGCCCCGAGCCGGAACCAGTCCCACACCCGCACGCGCAGCACGACCCTCTTGAAGCGGCCGCGCTCGCGCTCGAGGTGCAGATACAGGTATCCTTTCAGCCGCACCATGGCCTCCTGTACTGTCTTCTCCCACGGCGCGCCGCCCCGAAAAAGGGAAGCGACGCTGTGAACGGGCCCGGCTCAAAAATTCTCTTCGCCTGCGGCGCGCGCACTTGTCACTTTCCAAAGTCTGCGGTGTTCTGAGTGGATGGAGTGAATGGAGGCGTGTGTGCGTCTTCCCGTCAACCCAACAGATACATGTACATGTAGAGAGCCGACTCGGCGGCAGACTCTGGCAACGCCCTCGCTCGCGGACCGCAGCTTACCTCTTCCCTAAAAATCCTTCGGGCCGGCGCTCTGGCTTGAGTGCCCCGGCCGGAGCTAGAGGGCAAGGGCTACCTGGTCACCTCCGGGCCGTTCAGATACTTGCGCCACCCCAATGACACGGGCGAGCTCTTCGGATGGACGGCCAGCGCGCTGCTCGGCGCCCTCGTGGCCCTCTCGCAGGGCGCTTCTTTTGCGCGCAGCGTGCTGCCCTGGCTGATCGGCTCGGCCGTTGGCTGGGTGGGGATTATATTCGTGCTCAGACGCGGGTCGCCACGCGCACGGCACGGTGACACTGGATCTCGGATTGACAGTGACGGAGAGTCGCGCGGGAGGCCGGCTTGCAAATACGGCCGGGTACGGAAACGCTCGTCTACCACTGTACGATGTTCATCTACCTGTACCTCGAGGTGAGGTGTGAGGAGCGAGGGACCCCTCCTGCTCCTCTGCTCCCGCCCCAATCGCGACGCGGAGCTGCGAGACGCGGCGAAACAGCTGCGCCTCCTCCACCGTCCATCTGTCGTCGACCTCCATCTCCTCCATCTCCTCGTTGACGTAGCAGAGCCGCACATGTGACGGCGCCACGCCCGCGTACGCGGCCGCCGAGAGACGCAAGCTGCCGCACGGCGTGTCCCGCGCCGCCGCCTCGCGCCAGAAGCCCAGCTCGTCGCTCAGCCACACGCGCACCGTCCAGCGGGGCGGGATGCGCGCGCGGCGCGGCCGTCCGTCCAGCGGCAGCTCGACCTCGAGCCCGGCCGGCAAGCACGCCTCCGCCTCGGGGAGCGTCTGCCACTCGTACGTCGGCACGAAGGCGCCGCGCGGCGAGGCGGGCGGCACCGCAGGCGGCGGAGGCGCGACGCCCGCTCTCCATGCCTGCGTCAGCGCCGGCGTCGCGGGGGCGGCGAGCGCGGCGAAAGCGCTCTCTTCCTGGCGCAGGTACGCCTCGAGCGCGACGACGAAAGCCGCCTGCGGTTGCAGGGCCGGCGAGGGGTGGAGGGGAGGAGGCAGGAGGAGGAGGCCGCCTGCGGTTGCAGGGCCGGCGAGGGGTGGAGGGGAGGAGGCAGGAGGAGGAGGCCGCCTGCGGTTGCAGGGCCGGCGAGGGGTGGAGGGGAGGAGGCAGGAGGAGGAGGGACCCGAGCCAAAAGTGCAGCGGAGGGGGCAGGGCGCGGCCTCGGGCGTGGCTTTAGCGGCTGCGGAGAGGGGCTCCCAGGGGCTCGAGGGGGCGGGCCCCGCCTGCTGGTCGAGCGACCGCACCGTCTTCCGCTGCCGCGCGTCGCCCGAGTCGCTCTCCTGCTCCTGCCGCAGCTGCGCGTCGGCGAGCCGCTCCCGCATCTCGGCCAGCGCCTCCCGCACCATCGCAAGCAGCTCGCGCGGCGAAGACGCGCTCGATCCGCGAGCCGCGTGCGGCCCCGCGGAGAGGAGTGGGTTGCGCGCTGTCGCGTCGCGCAGCGTGCGCAGCGTGGCGCGCCTGCCGGACCACGGCATGGGCGTGGGAGGGGTGCTGCTGCGTCGCGACGCGTGCGCCGCGGTGGCGCGCGTGAGCGGCGGCAGCTCGAGCCAATACTCCGCCTTCTCCACCTCGTCGAGGTCCGCCAGGATGCCACCCACCTACTCGCGCGCGGCACGTGTCGCGGACCCGCCGCCGCCTCCGAGGCCCGCACAAGTCCGTTGCGACCGCTGCGCGCTCCAGCGCAGGCTCGCCCAGCTCGTGGGCGAGTAGCAGGACGGAGGGCGCGTTCGCGGCGTCGACGGCGGAGGCCAGGGTGCGCACCGCCGCCTTGAGAGGGGAGCGGAGAGGGGCGTCTCTAAACGGTGTCTCGGGCGATCACAGAGTGTCTCGGAGGTGTCTAGGAGGTGTCTAGCAGGCGTCCCAGAGGGGCCACGGAGAGGTGCGTCTCTCTGATACGTCTCGCAGAATCTCGGACAGGGACCTCCAGCAGCGGAGGGCACTCGAGGTAGTGGCACAGCCTCGCCACAGGCACCACCCTCTCCGGAGACAGCAGCTGCGCCGCCGCAGCCCGCTTCGCCGCCCCGTGGCTCGCGCGCATCCAACCCACCGCCCCTCGCACGGCTGCCTACAGCGGCGGACGGGACAAAAGACGCGTCGCGGACACGCACAGGGTCGAACCGCAGCTGCGCTCTTGTTTTCCCGCCGGCTCGTGCGCCGCCAGCGAGCACTCCCACCGCCCCTCGGCCGCGCCGGCCGCCTCGCGCCAGCGCTGCGAGCCGCCCGTCAGCGCGGCGAGCATGCGGGAGTGGCGCGCGAGCACCGGCGCGGGCGCCTGGCAAGGAGTGTGGGGCGGGAGGCGAGAGGTGGGGCGGGTCAGGGAGGGGAGAGGCAGAGAGGCAGAAAAGCAAGAGAAGAGCGAGCGGCGGGAGAGGCGGGTGAGGTGGGAGAGAGGGGCAGAGGAGAGACAGGCGGGAGAGGAGGCGGGAGAGGAGGCAGGAGAGGAGGCGGGAGAGGAGGGCGAGAGAGGCCCTTTGCCTCCAGCTTGCTTCCGTCGGCGAGCCAGAGCACTACAACGCCCTGAACCGAGCCGCCACCTTCCCCAGCCCCTCCCAGCCCGCCCTCCTCCTCCGCACACTCCTCCTCCAAGGCCTCCCTCCCTGCCACCTCGAACGGCTCCGCCTCCCTCAACACCAGTCGGAGGCGAGCGCTGCAGAGCGGTGTCTGCTGCGCGGAGAGAGCCGGACCGCCGCCGCTCGCTCCTCCCTGCGCCGCGGCCTCAGCACGCTGCCGGCTTTCGCCCGCGTCGAGAAGCGTGCGAAGGAGCTGCTCCCACTCCCGAGGCGCTAGGCCAACCCCGTCCACCAAGGCGTGCCTCAGCTCGTTGGGGCTGGCAAAGGCGAGTTCGCCCAGGCCGCGGACGCTGTAGCCCTCGTCCTCGAGCGCGGTTGCGTACGCAGCGAGGGAGCACTCGTCGAGAAGCGCTGCGATCGAAGGGAAGCGGAAAGCCAGACGCTCCAGACGTGGATCCTCCCAAATCACGAGCGAATTTGAACAGCGAGCCGCAGGGGCTTTGCGAACCGCTATTTGCAGGTGCACGCGGCTAACCATGCGGATCGCAGGCGAGTCCATGGTACAGGTGGCTGTAGAAGTACTGCTGAAGGATAGTAGTGTGCGCAGCGTGGTCGCAAAGAAACCGCCGCAAAGAAACCGTGCGCTCATCTTCTGCTTTCCTCCCAGATCGAAGAACTTGAAACACACCACGCAGGCAGGGGCACACAGCATGGTACAGGTGGCTGTAGCCGTTGAGGAGAAAGAAAGTGCGTATCATGCGTGCGCCACCTCCCGCGAGCGCGGCGGGGTCGGGAGCGCCGCCGGACGGAGGGAAGGGCGAGCCGCCGCCGGCTACCTTCAGCGACGACGACCGCGGCTCGCCCCAAAACGCCGGGCGCTGGATCGGCAGTACATGTAGGGCTTGGGCGGCGCAGCGTAGGGGTAGGCGTTAGGCTGAACAAGCTTTTCCTCTCGCACCCCGTCTCTTTTCCTTTCCTTTTTTCTTTACAGCACCCTCTCTTTTCCTCTCTATTTTCCCGGGGAAACCATCAAATTTTCCGGGCTCTGAGCCGAGCCTGAGGCTGGTTTGGGCCCAAAATCAGCCAAAGATGCTGGCGGAGTGCTCGCTCGCCGTGCGGTAGTAGGCACGCCGCAGCAGGCTCGTTGAGCTGCCGACCCCACTGTCCACCCTCGACAGCATGGACAGCTCGCCGAAGCGGCTTGCTGTGTGGGCGACGCTCGGAACACTTACCAGCTTGTGGAGGAGGAGCCGCAAGCTCACCTGACGGGGAGAAGTGGACGGCGGTAGAAGCCGGACGCGCGACATGGGGCGACTGCTACCATTAACGAGGGCGAGGCTCGCTCGCCTTGAGGTGTGGTGCGTCGAGGATCGGCACGGCGAGGTCGTGGAAGATGCCCGCCTGCGTGAGGTCGCTGGGCGTGCCCGCAATGACCTGGTCGAATGCGGCGGCCGCCGGCCCCTCCCGCTGCTCGTGGGCGAGCACAATGCTCAGCCTGGGGTGGTTCGCGAGCGCCGTCCGGAGCTCACCGAAGAGAGCGGGCGTGGTCGTCCGTGAGCCGAGCAGCAGGAGGAAGTGCGTGGCTCGAAGCATCTGACGGGGGTCGTCCGTCACACGCAGAGCAGCCGGCGCTCCGAGGCCTCGCGGGGCGGCGGAGGCGATGCCGCCCTCTCCCGTGCCGCCGCTGTTGAGATGGCTCTGCAAGAGCGCCACGAGGTCCGGGGCGCCGGCGTTCTCGCGTGAGACGTAGACGTGGTACTCGCCCGCGCTGAGCGGCGGCATGTCGAGAGTTGGCCCGGCTGGGAGGGGCGAGCGTGCCAGCAGGAGCCTGTCCGGCAGGTAGACGGCGGGCGAGACCTCCTCCCCCTCCGCTCCGGACCGGCCGACCTCCAGAAACTGCTCGATGATCTGGAGCACCGACATCAGCCGGAAGGCGCCGACGCGATGCCATCGCACGACCAGGCGGCGGTGCGTGCCGTCGAGCAGCGGCCTAAACCCTTCAGGCGCCTGGCGCGCATGCGTAGCGAGAGGCACTCCGCCGTGCCTCATGTCCGTCTCGGTGACGACTATGATCGGCTTCTCCAGCTCGATCGCGGCGCGGAGCTCGCGCAAGCAGTTCGGCGAGCGCCTAATGAAGCAACAAGCGAGTCAGGCCGGCACTCTGGGTGCGCCTTCGAAGTGTCCGCAGATCGAGCGCGCATGTAGTCGGAGACGGGAGCGCCAACGAGGTCGCTCGATCCCGAGAGGAAGACGAGCACCACAGAGCAATTCCTAACGTGCTCCTCGAGCCTAGGGGGGAATGCACCCAGTGAGAGCGAAAGGGGTAGCGCGGCCAGGGTTGCGCGGGCAAAGATGCGCGGGCAGGGTTGCGCCTCGAGGTGTCGGCGAGGTCGTCAACGTCGAGGAAGACGCGGATGCCCTTCACGCGTTCGAGGAGCGCGCTCTTGATTGCCCGCGCCTGGTCCTGCAGCCACAGCAGAAACAGGGCGCGGCGGGCGAGCGTCATGCGTCAGGGCGGCTTGGAGGGCGGGAGGGTGGGCGTGCTCGCCTGCCCTGAGCTCCAGACATGCGACAGAAAGACGTGGCGCTCGTCCGCCGTGGCGAGCGGCGGCGCCTCGACGATGGTGTCCGCCGCGCTCTCGGCCGTCGCTTGCAGGTTCGTCACCCGCACAACCGAGTCGGCAATCACGACCGAGCGGCGAGTCGCCTTGTCGCTGCGGCGCGTCGCGGGCATGCAGCGCGCGTAGGCCGACTCCAGCGCGTCCAGCTTGGCGGCGCGGCGGCGCGCTCTGCGGTTGAGGAAGAAGAGAGCGAGCGCCTGCAGACACCGGGACGCGTCGAGGAAGCGCCCCTCGGGCCCTCGGAGGGAGTGTCGCCGCGAGGCGGGGTGCCAAGAGGGCGACGACGCACGCCGCCGGGAGGACGGTGGTGAGGATCAATCTGCGCGCGTGCCTGTCCTCTTCCTCGGGCTCGTCCTCGCAATCGACGCCGCGGTACCCGCCCGTGCAGACGCACACGCCTTATGCGAACACAAGCGTCCCGTCAACCGGATGAGACTGTGTGGACGTGCCCCTGCGAGGACGCATGCGCCGCGCCGTCCATATCGCAGTGGCCGTGGCCCGAGCACTGGATCTCCTACAGGGAAGTTCCGAGAAGGTTCCGAGAAAGTGCCGGACTCGCCCCCCCCCCCCCCCCCAGCACGGACGCTCCTCGATATTTTCGCCCGCCTTGAGGACCCCGGGGTGCAGCCGCCGCTCGCACGCCCGTTGCTCCCAAGTTGGCTGCGGGAAGAGCATCGGGCCCAGCGACGGCTCGCCTCCCCCACTCGCGTGCCGAAGATCGATCGGCAAGTTTTCGACTGTCCGGCCGTTGGCCACGCCGGCGACGACGGTCTCGTCCACCCTGCCGGGCTGGAACTGGAGGACCATCATGTCCTCGTCCGCCTGCCTCACGCAAAAGAGGCGTGAAGAAACGCTGGTCACAGCGCACACCACCCATCGCCGTCCCCTCCCCCGCCTGCCCGTCTTTGTTGTACGTCAGGTTCGAAAAGAACTCAAACAGCGTCGCCTATCGGCGTGAGACGGGCCGCCTGCTCAACCCCCCCCCCCCCCTTCACCCACGGACCGGCCGGTGCTCGCGAGAAGCTCACCGAATTGAGGGCGGCGGCCACCTCGTCCGTCTCGAGCGAGCCCGCGCGCTCGATGGCGTCTGCGAGAGAACAGCTCGCCGCAAAGGCCGCCGCGCCTACATGGAGGTTCCTAGAGCGTCCAGAGAAGGGTTGTGGAGAACAGCTCGCCGCAAAGGCCCCGCCGCGCCTACATGTGGAGGTTCCTAGAGCGTCCAGAGAAGGGTTGTGGAGAACAGCTTGCCGCAAAAGCCGCCGCGCCGATGTAGGAGACGAGCTCACCTCCGTTCGCCCGCTGGAACTGCCGCGTGAACTCGATCGAGGTGAGATTGGACCAAGTGCCACGCCCCGAGAGAGAGGGGTGCCTGAGTGCCATGCTCGGCCCCGTAGGCTGAGTGTGAGTGCAGTCTCGTGCATCGCACTCTGAGGTTGGGAAGAGAGAGGCACATGCAGCACAGCGTGGGAGGCGACGGGGTGCAGCTCGAGAGACAGCTGAAGAGCCTCAAGTGCTAGTGTCGATGTGCCAGAAAACTCCGCATCTGGGGGGGCATGTGCCACACCATCGGCTCGACGGTGTACTCGGCCGCCCACGACAGCGCGAGAGGAGCCGTCGAGCGGAGCTCCGCGTGGATCCTGCCCTCACTCAGCGTGGCGGTGGTCACCTGTCCACAGCGGGGACCTGCGTGGAGAGGCTTCTTCTCCCGTCCCCCCAGCCCCACCGCGTCCCTCTCACCACGGCGAGGGGCGCCCAGCCGAGCTGCTGCAGTGCGAGCATCAGCCCTTTGCCGGTGCCGAGGTACGTGCACCCGACCAGCAGCGTCACGCCCTCGTCTCGGAGCGGCTGCAGCGCCTCCTTGATGTCGTCGATGTACTCCTGGCTGATGCCGACCTGTGCACGGCCGCGGGCCTGTCTGATCAGCGCTCTTCACGGCGCCGCCTTGCGCGGGGCGGTCGACCGAGAAGGCGGGCGCGACGGTTGTGATGAGCGGGAGGCCACTCGAGTTGAGAGCCACGGGCACGCCGGCCTCCTGCGGGGGGGAGGGGGGGGGGGGGGTAGAGTGGGCTGTGGGGGGTGTTTTGTGGGGGGTGTGGTTTTGGGGGGCGAGATTGTGCGCGATGGCAGCGCGGAGATAGGACACCTGCGTGACGCCAGCGCCGAGGGAGCACATGACGGAGGTGAACTTGGTGCGGGCCGCGATGAAGCCCGCCTTGAGGCTCTCCCGGCAAGTCGCCCCGCGGCAGCGAGGCGGCATTCCCCGCCAGCAGCGGTCGAGGCGGCTGTCGCAGGCGTCTGCGGCGTCGACAATGGCCTCGACGGCGGTCTTGATGTACCGGGGCGAGGGGGGCAGCACGCCGAAGGTGAGGTTGTTCTGCGAGATCACCGACGGCGTTGCGGCGGTGGTGGCGAGCATAATGGTCTTGTCGGCGTACGACCTGAGGAGGAGGGGGGCGGTGCGGAGAAGGAGTGGATGGGCGAGCAGAAGGAGTGGATGGGACGAAGAGCGGGACCGCACTGGCGCGCTGCGTAGTTGGTGAAGCCAGACGAAAAGCCCCCGAGCATGAAGTCGGCGCCTAGCCCGCGGATCGCGTGCGCCGTGGCGTTGGTGGTCAGGTCCAGACGACTCTCGTCGGATACGATGGCAAAGCGGAACGGGCGCCGTGTGCCATTGACCAGCAGACCGCCCCGTTCCTGAACCAGTCGTTCAAATAGCTCAAGGCTGCCTTTCATGCCGCGGCTGTAGCCGTAGTACGCCGAGCCGATGGGCGCGAGCGAGAGCAGAGCGCCGAACGTGATGAAGCTCGCATTCGAGGCAGGCGCGCCCGCCGGAGCAAAGCGGAGCTGCTGCTGCGTGGATGGTGGAAGCGACGGAAGTTGAGCTGACCAGGACTGGCTGACGTTGCAGTTTTCGAAAGCGTCACAGCCGGACACGAGCAGGTTGAGGCCGGCCTTTGGAAGCTCACAGATGCTCATCTCGGCGGCCGCCAGGGAGCCGCCAGGGGGTACAGAAACCGACATAAACCGACACAAGACGCCGAGCATAAAAGAAAAGGACCACAAGCACCTAAATGAGCAAGGCATGCAGCTGTTGTGCATGTGGTGGCTCGCCGCCGCTGCCACCCGCCCCGGAGCGACGGAGTTCGCGGGCCTCGTACCAAGCGCTCTCTCGCCCACCCACGGCGTGGAGGGTGGGCTGCCGATTGGCGCCCTCCTCGCCCCAGCTTTCCTGGTTGCCACTGCCGACTCTATCTGTTGGTAGGTGCGCCGGCGGGGACACTGCAACAGGGACGCGTTGCGGGTGTCGCCTGGCGCGCGTCGCCCACATGTCGCCCCCTCCGTCGCCGCCGGAGCCCGGCCAGGCCGGCATGTCGGAAGAGCTGAGCTGCATGATCTGCAGCAGCCAGGACTCAGGAGGAGTGAACAGGCTCTTGCCTTAATCCCTTGCTAGATGATCTCGGAAATGGGACAGGCTGCGGCTGCAGTTAGTTCTTGGCGATGCAGGCCCCGTTCGTCACAAAGCCCGGCGCTCCAGCGCCAGAACCTTATTTTTGGATCCATGACACGTACAACGTAAACACCGAACACCCTCTCTCATGCGTACAACGTAAACACCCTCTCTCACAGCCGGGTTGGCGGGTATGGAGTACTGAGTGGGGTGCAATCGGCAAAATACCGGGTATTTTGCGGGTATACCTGGAAAACCCCGGGTATACCTGGAAAATACCCTGCGACCGCCTGGGTATCGTGCCGATTTCCTCAATTTTGCCTCAGATTTTGCCCCAGACCAGCTCTCAGACTCAGCTCTCAGGGAAACTCGCGAGTTTCCAGAATGGAGCACCAAACACCCTCTGTTTTCCCTCGAAATTTCCGGAAACGCAAAGTGCTGGGGCCGCCCCTCTGTCTGTTTTCCTTTTTGTTTGCCGGAAAAGCTTGTGCAGGCCAAGGTAGGCGCGCCTGCGCCGGGCTGACTGCCAGGTGCCAGCACCAATGCACCTGCCTGAGCAATGGGTTGCTGTACTCGAGTAACGCATTTCACGGCTTGGTTCGCACCGGGGGCCGGAGGGGTAGCTCGTCCCCGGCGCCCGGGTCTAGCCCCGCCCGGGTGCGCCCTCACTGCCCCGGGGGTGGGACCTCACCGCACAGCCGGCGACGTCCCGGGGTGAGGTCTCGGGGTGAGTCCCGGGTGAGGGCCGCCCCTCCCCCGTCCTCGGGCTACTGTGATAAAATAAGCAAAGGAGGTGTTCACAAAGTCGTAAAAGGCAACGCGGCGCTCTGCCTCCGCCCCCCGACGTGTGCGACCGCCCCCCCCCGCCCCCCCCCTCCGAAAAGCGACTGCCGGAGACGGTCATGTCAGGGGACCCGTCACGCAGCGCGGCGGCCGACAAAGTCAGGTTGATGATGAAGCGGGCCGAGGAGACGGGCGGGCACCTGGACGACGCGACCTTGCAGGCGTGCAAGGCGCTCTTGCAAGAATTCCGCGAGGCGACGGGGCGGTTGCCTGAGGATGGGAGTGGTAGAGCGCGCCCGGCTGAAGATGCGGAAGCAGGTCTGCTCCGCGTGCTTTCCGAGGGGCTCCCCAGCGCCGCGCAAGGAATAATGCGAGAAACGCTGTTGCAACCGAATCGCACTCGGGCAACTCGACCCGGAGCGGCGGTTGCTGCTCCATTCATCACTGCCCCAAGGCCCCCCTCCACAGCGTCGGACGTATCGGCGGTGGCAGCCGAGATGGCTCGCCGGCGCAGCCGCGTGGACACGGGCCCGACCTCACCAGACCGGGTCCCGGACAAGATTGTGGACGCGGCAGGGGAGGGCAATGAGGCGGTGGTGCTGGCTTGGATGGACGCCGCCGGCGGGCAGGTCGACGCAACCTTCAAGTCGGGCGATACTGGCGGATTCACCCTGCTGATGTACGCTGTCGCCAACGGGCAGGAGAAGCTTGTCGACTTGCTGCTGGGACGCGGCGCCAAGGTCAACCAGCAGGCCAGCAACGGCATGACCGCGCTGATGCACGCTGTCCTGAGCAATCGGCCGCCGATCGTGCGCCGCCTGCTCGGGCTGGGAGCGGACCTGAAGGCGCGCGCCGCGAACGGCAAGACCGCGCTGCAGTTTGCCAAGGAGAAGGGCTTCGATGGGTGCGTCGCCGCCTTTCGCCAGCACATCGAGAGGGTGACGTCGGATCTGCGCGAGCGCGGGAGCGGTGGGGTTAGCGAGGGTGGCAGCAAGGAGGCGGCCACCGAGGGCGCCGCCGACACTAGCAAGGATGGCAACTGCGAGGTTCCCTTGGAGATCCTGCATGCGGCGGGCGGGCGCGGTGAGCCCACAAGCCTGGCAAACGTGCTCGAATGGGTTGACAGGGAAGAAGGGCGGGCCAACGCGACCTTCGATGCGTCGGCGTTCCTCGCGATCGCTTCGAAGAGGCGCGGCCCCGGCAGTGCCGCCCCTCAAGGCAGCGCTGCGAGGGGCTGCACGCTGCTGATGGCCGCCGCCCGCAGCAACAACGTGCACCTGGCAGAGGCGCTGCTGGAGCGCGGCGCAGAGATTAACAAACGGGACAGCAGCTGCATGTCGGCGCTGATGCACGCCGTCGCCCACGGCAAGGAGGACATGGTCAAGCTGCTGCTGGAGCGGGAGGCGGAGGTCGACCCGCAGGACAGGAAGGGCATGACGCCGCTGCTTGACGCCGTCACCCGGGGCGAGGAGAGGCTTGCCGAGGCACTGCTTCGGGCGGGCGCGGAGGCTGACCAACGGGACGGCACGGGAAACACCGCGCTGATGGTCGCCGTGCTCAACAATCACCTCGGTGTCCTGCGCTGCCTGCTGAAGCACGGTGCAGATATGAAGCTGTGCGCCACGGACGGCATCACGCTGCTGCAGCTGGCCGAGAGGATGGGCCACGCTGAGTGCGCGCAGGCTTTGCGGACGACGGTTCCCATGGAGGTTGCCACGGCGGCGGACCGAGGCGACGACCAAACGGTGCAGACGTGGCTGGAGATCGCCGGCGGTCAGGTCAACGCGACGTACGAGGACGGCGACGTGAGCGGCATGACCCTCCTCATGACTGCGGCCAGCAGCGGCTCGCTGCTCCTTGTCGACATGCTGCTGCGACGCGGTGCGAAGGTGGACGCGCGGACCAGCAACGGCTGGACCGCTCTGATGCACGCCGCCCTTAGCGGCCACGAGCGAGTAGTCCACAGGCTGTTGCTGGCCGGCTCGAAGGACGGCGAGACGGCGATTCAGCTCGCCAAGGAGTCGGGTCACGCCGCGGCGAACGCCAAGAGGGACGCATCGCCATGGAGTCGGGTCACGCGCGTCCTCGAGCTGCACTTGGCGGTGGACTACGAGGCGGCGAACGCCAAGAGGGACGCGGAGGCGAAGGCGCGAGGGGAGGCGTTGCTAGCGGAGATAGAGGCGGAGGAGGCGGAGGCGCGCAACAAGGAGAGCAAGAAGGCCAAGAAGAAGAAGAAGAAGGGAAAGGGTGGCGGGAGCAGCAGTGCGGTGCCGTCGGATGAGCCCGAGGCGTCAGTGGGGGAGGCGGAGGGAGAGGCATGGAAGGCGGAGGAGGCGGGGGCGCAGGAGGCGGAGGAGGTGGGGGCGCAGGAGGCGGGAGCAGGGGAGGCCGAGGAGCTCGCGGCGGCGCTCGAGGAAAGCGCGAGGCTGGAGGTCGAGGTGAGGCGTGCGCACGCGGGCGACGAGCCACGACCGCCGCCTGCGGCGGTCTCGCTCGCCGATGCTGTCTTCGACACCGGGCGCCGCGAGGAGGCTCCAGAGTCCACGATGGGCGGCGAGACCACGTGCATCGTGTGTTTCACCAACCCGAAGACGCACGTCGCTGTCCCGTGCAGCCACCGTTGCGCCTGCGGCCCCTGCTCCGCGAAGATGACCCTCTGCCCCTATTGCCGCGAGCCAGTGATGATGTGGATGGTCCCACGCGAGGTGTGAGTGGCAGAGGGGTGGCATAACGGACAGCAGCGGGATCGGCGGGGGGCGGGGGAGACGGTCACCGTCGCTCGCGTCGCGCGGCGGCCGGCCGCGGGCCGGCGGTGACCACGCTCCACGGTGTGATATGTGTTCAGCTCTAGGGTGAAGGGTGCAATGTGCAACCCCGCGGTGTGTCTGGCTAGCCGTGTGTATATCCGCGCGCTGTCGAAGCCGCGCGGGCGCAGCGCCCCGGTGGCGTGTTGACCACATACACATATGTGCTCTGACGAGGTCAGGACGAGGAAGGTCCTAGTGGAGCTAGTGTGGGGGGTGCTCCCGGCCATACAGAGTTCTGTATGTTATGCTGATGTATGGTGACGTATGACAATGCTGTGCGGCGATGTGAGGGAGGCGCACATATGTCGTGTGCGGGCGGCATCTCAGATCTCTTCTCGACTCTCCGCGTGCTGACTGGTGCTGCCCCGGTGCCGCGGGGTGGCCGGTGCGCGCCGGGCGGCGGCGGCGGCGCGCCGCGGCGCACGGCCCACGGGCACGACCACTTTTGTGGGCGCGGGTGAACGAAGAAAAGAGTACCTGTCATTATGGTAAACTAGGCCAACGGAGTGTCGGCTAGAGGCGATGTGTCCCTTGGCCGGCGTCGCTATACGGCTCTCTTAGCTGATGGTGCCCGACCCGATAGTGGGGAGGCGGCAGGGGCCGGCGTCGGTGACGAGCGGCGCGCCCTGGTAGGTCGCGACGCCGTCCGCGGCGCGCAGGTCGGCAGTCGCCGTCTCGAGCAGCTTCTTCTTCTTGACTTGGTTCGGCGAGGCGGGGTCTGGCATCGTGGCGCCATCGACACGCACCCGCTCGCCAGGCGGCGACTCGGCGGGCGGCTCGACGAACTCGACGACGGAGCCGTCGGCGGAGGTGCCGCACAGCACCATCCCGTTCGAGGGGAAGCCCCCGAGCTTGGCCGGCTTCAGGTTGCACACGACCAGCACCGAGCGGCCCTCGAGGTCCGACGGCTCGGCGTAATAGGCGCGGATGCCAGAGGCGATTTCGCGCGGCGCCCCCTCGCCCACGTCGATGCGCTCGCACCAGAGCTTCTCCGAGTCCGGGTGCGGCCACGCCTCAACGATCTTCCCCACCCGCACATCCAATTTTGGAAAGGCAGGCTCCGGCGGCGGCGCGTCGGCCGCGGCGGTGGCGGACGCCGCGGGCGCGGCCGCGTCGCACAGCAGGGCGCGGCCGAGGCGGACGGCGCAGCGGGGAGCGGCGATGCCGCCCCGCGCGTGCAGCGTCAGCGCCGAGGAGGCGCGCGCGAGGAGGAGCATGGCGAAAGGCAACTGCATGTAGCAGAACCGACAGGGGAAAGAAGAAGAAAAAATTTTCCTGCGCAGCTTCATCCACCGTGAATTCTTTTCCCCTACTAAATAAGGTTGAGGTGCCTCATCCGACGCCGCTGCCCAGCCTCCGCATGGCCGCCGACGCGCGGCTGATTTAGCGTGCCGTCCGCACACCCGCACACACACACACAGTCTTGTCCACCCTCCGCCGTCACCCGCGGCGGCGTGCCTGCTGCCGCCGCCGCCGCCGCGCTCGTCCTCCCGCCGGCACGCCGCCACCCTGTGCATCCCCGGCAGAGGCTCACGACTCCCCGTCGCGCACAGAATCATGAAGGGTGCCCTCGCCTTTCTTTGCCTGCTCGGCTCCGCCGCGGCCTTCGCGCCGGCGGCGCTGCGCCCCGCGGTGATGCAGCGCTCGGTGGCGGCGGCGCCTGCGGCGGTGCGGCAGCCCCCCCCTCTCCCGAAGCGAGAGCACCGACCCCGCGCCGCGCGGACGATGGGCGGTACCGCTGCCGCTTCGGCCGCTGCCCGTCGGCCGCTGCTCGCCCCCTTTCTTGCCGAGGAAGGCTGGTTGACGCAGCGCGTTTGCCGCTCTCTCCCGCTGCGCAGGCTGGAGCTGTCATGGTGGACCGGTCAGAGGCTGCGGACACGTGGTGGGGGGACAAGGACTACCCGCCCTCGATCGTGCTCGGCATCGGCAAGGACGTCCCCTCCTCCATCTTCGGCGTCACCTCCGGCCTCGCCTTTGCGATTGGCGTGTACTGTGTGGCGCAGGTCGGCCCTCGCCTCCCCCACCCTCTCCCGCTCCCTCTCCGCTTTCCGACCGCCACCGCCCCCGGCAGTCGAACCTCGTCAACATCCTCTCCGGCTCCACCGTCAACGGCTTCTACGTCGCCGGCGCGCCTCCGTTTCTCCTGC